CCCAACAGGAGGTGAGGGGGGCGGGGGGTGAGGAGGATGAGCGAATCATGGTCCTCCAAGTGAGGGCAGGAGGCAGAAGCCAAGGCCAGAGTCCTCAGGATCCCATAGCCCTCAGGCCAGCTCAAGTCCAGCCAGGGACCCTGGAATGTGCCTCCTGCCCTCAGAATGTCTCTGGCTCTGGCTCTTGTGGGGAACGAGATATGGTGGGGGGTGGGGGGGTGATTTTTCTCAGCATTGCAGTAACTCCTTCCTGTCCTCACCACAGGGAGCTGGATGGAGGTTTCGAAGTCCCAGTCGCCAGCCTAAGCCTTAACCAAACAGTCCCCAGCCGGGGGGCAAGGAAGGCCTTGGGACTGGAGCAGGGGAGGAGGCAGAGATTTTGGGCAGAAACAGCAGCCCAGGGCTGGGCTCTGGCTGCCTGGGGAGGACAAAGCAGCTGGTGGCTGAGGCTGCGGGGCTCCAAGGCCAGGCCTGGACAGGGCTGGAAGTCAGGTAGAGAAAGAGGCTCACCCTTTTGCCTCATCCTCTGACGAGACTCAGCAGCCCTGGGGTCTCTGCCGCAGTAAGGGGCTGAGGGTGAGGGCTGGGGATTCTTCCAGATTTACAACTTAAAACCCCCTGGGACTCCTCAGGCCCAGCACAGCCCTCAGTCAGGACAGGACTCTAACAGGCCTGACTCGACCACCTCAGGGCTGCAAAAGGCCGTCATTGGCAACCCGCTGACTGTCCAGTTACCACACAGCTGCCTTCACCTCTGACAGGATCTCTCACTGTCTTACCTCCACAGCCACAGAGCTGGGCTGCCCCTGGGACACGGCTGCCACACAGTAAGCATGCTGGACGCTCAGAACCGACCACGTGGCACAAAACAGTGCGAGTACAAAGTGGCTGCCCGTGACCCTCAGAAGCATCTCAGCCTCCTCAAGCCTGGCCCTTACCGCCTCCCTCCATAACCAAATCCTGGTGGCCAGAGCCCAGGTGTAGGACAGCTTCCTCTACCCCGGGCCCCCGGGAAGGGCCGTCGGGCACAGACCCCTGGGATATAGAGCTCACACTCAAACCCCAGCCCCAGAACCACCCCTCCCCAGTCACAGTGGCATCTCAGAGCTGGGGAGGGGGCCAGGGCCTCTGGGCACAGGGCCCAGCGTGGGTGGGGTGGGGGGAGATAGGGAGGCAGGCTTCCTGGGTCTCCGTGTGAGGACAAACAGCAGGCTTTGAGTACTTGGAAAATCCCGCCCGGGATTCCAGGCCCTGCCGGCGTCACTGCCCTTTGACTATTGTCCCCCGTCGGAAACGGGCCCAGCCCCCGGCCAGCTGGGACAGAGCAGCCATTGTGAGGTCCCACCAAGCTCAATGCCCCCTTGTTCGTTTTCCCGGCCCCTAGCAAGACTTGGAGGCCAGTTCTTCCAGTTGCTTAGTGGAAAGAAAGAGCCTGCCTCCAGGCTCCAGCCCTTGGGTGGGGCAGGGTGGGGCAGGGTGGGGCTGGGGGAATCAGCCCCCCACTCTGTACCTCAATTGCCAAAGTCCTGGGAAGGAACTGAAGAAAACACCATCAGTGGAACTCCTTTTATTTGTGAGGCTCTGGGTAGGGAGAACTAGCAATTAAGTCACCAGATACACCCAGTTCAGCTACTTACAAACTAAGTGACATTGGGAAAGTCATTTCCTTTGTTTGAAATGACTTCTCTTCTTTGTAAAAACAACAAACCAAAAAGAAAAAACCAAACTCCTTGTCTTTGAGTCAATTCCAACTCATGGTGACCCCATATGTTAGAGAGTAGAACTGAGCGCCACAGGGTTTTCTTGGCTATAATCTTTATGGAACCAGATCACCAGGCCTTTCTTCCGCGGCACCACTGGGTGGGTTTGAACGGCCAACCTTCAGTTGGTAGCTGAGTGCAAACCACTTGCGCCACCAAGGGACCTTCGTTGAGTGCAAACCATTTGTGCTATTCAGGGACCTAGTGATGATAATAGCTACCACATATTATGTTCCACTGTAGGCTAGGTTCTTTTCATACGTTATTTCTAGCCCTTGCTACAACCTTACGAGGAAGACATGGTTGTCCCTACCTCATAGGTAGGCCACTCAGTAGAGTGGTTAAGAGTGAGAACTTGAGCTAGACTGCCTGGGTTTAAATCTCAGCTCCAGTACTTAGTAGCTGTGGAATTTGGGGCAAGTTACTTAACTTTTCTATGCCTCAGTGTCTTCATCTATAAATGCAGCACTTATAATGGTTAATGAGTGAATACATATAAAGTGCTTGAAACAGTGCCTGGCATGTAGTAAACACTGAATAAACATTAGCTGTCTGGTCACAGCTGGTGGTCTCAGCAAGCTCTGCTCCTTACCACGGCACTACCACCAGACTTACCTCCTCACTGAACAGATGGGGAAACCAAGGCTCAAGAGCAGCATGAAAGTGGGGGCAGAGCTGAGAACAGAACCAGATCTCCTGAATCCCCATCTGAGGCTCCTTTCCCAGCACCTTGCCAGGCGCTGGTGCTGCTGACAAAGGTCCACTCAGAAGCTCTGGTAGGGTGCCAGGGACATATTCTTGGAAGTCCACTGCACTGCTGGGGGCAGTGGTCTCAGTGTGTAGGACTCAGGGGCCTCCCCTCACCCCACCCCATACATGGACCCTTCAGAAGGCTTGAGGCAGGACTGTCTTCTCAAAACCCAAATGAGGGTATGTGACTGGGGACCCCTTGTGGGACTACAGTCTGGGACAGGCCAGCACCTCTCCCCTTCTCCTGAACAGAGCACTACTTTGTTCGACTCCCATCCGGCAGGGGCTGACCCCCATCCAGCCAGTTATCAGAGTTGTGAGGAACCAGTATGGGGGTCACTGCCTTCAGGGCCCCTGTCAGATCCCTGAGAAGTCTATGAGGCAGGATGAGCACTGAGTGTAGTAAAGAGGACCAAGCCCTGTGTGATGGCCAGCCATCTTGGGCCTTGGGTGATTTAGGTTCATGTTTCTCAGAAGGATGGCCCCAGACCTGCATCAGATTCACTTCCTAAAAATACAGGTTCATGGGCTCCATCCCTCACCAGATCTGAGGGTCTGGGGGCAGAGTCAAGAAATCTCCATTTTACAAATATTGTATAAGACCACTATTAAAAGAACTCAAGAAAAGTTTTAAACACAGAAGAAAACATTCTTTGATGGTTACGAGGGTGGGGAGGGAGGGGGAGGGTTATTTACTAATTAGATAGTAAATAAGAATTATCTTAGGTGAAGGGAAGGATAGCACACACTGCAGGGGAAGTCAGCACAACTGGACTAAACCAAAGCTAAGAAGTTTCCTGAATATAATCAAACACTTTGAGGGACAGAGTAGCAGAGGTAGGGGTCTGGGGACCATGCTTTCAGCGGACATATAGGTCAATTCGCATAACAAAGCTTATTAAGAAAACGGTCTGCACCCTACTTTGTTGAGAGTCATCTGGGGTCTTAAAAGCTTGCAAGTGGCTATCTAAGATGCATCAATTGGTCCCAACTCACCTGGAGTAAAGGAGAATGAAGAACTCCAAAGACACAAGGAAAGTATTAGCCCAAGAGACAGAAAGGGCTACATAAACCAGAGACTTCATCAGCCTGAGACCAGAACTAGATGGTGCCCAGCTACCACCAATGACCGCCCTGACAAGGAACACAACAGAGTCCCAGATAGAGCAGGAGAAAGGTGGGGTGCAGAACTCAAACTCTAGTAAGAAGACCAGACTTAATCGTCTGACTGAGACTGGAGGAACCCCGGAAAGCATGGCCCCTGGATTCTCTATGAGCCCAGAACTAAAACAATTTCCGAGGCCAACTCTTCAGACGGATTGGACTGGACTGTGGAACATAAAGTGATACTCGTGAGGAGTGTGCCTCTTAGCTCAGGTAGATACGAGAGACTAAACGGGCAGCTTCTGTCCAAAGTGAGATGGGAAGGCAGAGCGGGTCAGGACCTGGTTGAATGGACATGGGGAATCAGGGGTGGAAAGGAGGAGTGTGCTGTCACAGTATGGGGAGAGCAATTAGAATCACATAACAATGTACGTATAAATTTTTGTATGGGAAAGGCTTTTTTTTTTAAATCTCCATTTTAAGCAACTGATGAGCTTAGATGTTGGAGAACCTATATGGGGGCACCTGGACAAAGGTAGGGATCACAGAACAATCTTAACAAGAAGGCAAGGGCTACCATTCCTTGAGTCCTCTGGCTGGGTGGCAGGGGGATGGGAAGGAATGCTGAGAATGGAGATCGAAAAAAAACACTTCCAGAGTGACAACAGCTACTACCATTTTGGCTTGCTTATACCCAGTCCTACGCTGAGCACTATACAAACACACTCCTCTAATACAGCTCTGGCAGTTCAGGTCGATCCCCTTTCCTGTTTCATGGATGTGAAAATTGATTATCAGAGTCATGAAATAATTTGCCAAGGTTAGGAACCAGTTAAGTGACAACCCTGAGCCCTGAAGCCTGGTCTGTTTCTAGAGCTCTTAATCCCTTGGTTAGCCTGCCTCCACCACAGGCACCATGTATGAGCCATCAAGTTGATCTGACGCATTCTATGTGTTAGAAACTATTCTCTAAGTGTTTACATAACAACCCCATGAAGCAAATGTCATTATTATCCCGCTTTTACAAATAAGCTTCTGGGTGGTGCAAATGGCTAACTCTCTCGGCTGCTAACCAAAAGGTTGGTGGCTGGAGTCCACCCAGAAGTGCCTTGGAAAAGCCTGGTGATCTACTTCGGAAAAAGCAGGCACTGAAAACCCTATGAAGCACACAGTTCTACTCAAACATAGATGGAATCACCATGAGTTGGAACCCACTTGATGGCAACTGGTTACTGGTTTTTTATAAATGAGTAAACTGAGGTCTGTTAACTCAGGTTGGTTAAGTCCAAGGTTTATCCAGAGCCAGCCCTGTCTCTCCTACTTATATAATTATGGGTGTGCACGTATGTAAGGGGCAGGAGACAGGGTATCAGAAAGACAAAATCCCAGTTTCAGCTACATATCTATTTTTTATTCAATATATTAAATATATTAATCAGAAAGGTCACATACTATAAATCCAGAAAAATACACAAATATAAATGTCAGAATCTGTCATTTGTCTTCCTCCTAGAGTGACATTTATGTACATGTGGAAGGAGGCTGGGAAGAGAAAGCAAGTAGAAGACGGCTGGAAAAGACTAGCCCAGGCAGGTGGGGGGCCCCCTTCTTCCCAACCCCGACTCCCACCTCAACCTCTTCCTTCCTGTATTTACAGCAGCATTTGGCTTATTTACAGCATGGCGGTGTGTGTTAAAAATGGTTTATCTTACAAAAACATGAAGGCCAGGGGTGGGCTAGGGGTAAGACAAATAGTAGGGGTCACTCCCACGAATGCACCCCCCACCCCCAGGGCCTGAGCTCCCTGCCGACCTCCTAGAGCAAAAGAGGAGGTCAGTCGGTCTGCAGCTCAAGCCCAGCTCTGGGGGGCGGTGCTCTGGGGTTCATGGGTCATGGGTTAAAGGCACGTGGGGTGGTGTACGAGCGCACACGCTTGTGCACGCATGTTCCCAGGCTGAAGTCAGAAGGGCAACGTGTCCATAAAGATCTTGTCAACAATGGGTGGAGGGGGCACCAAGTCCTCCAGCTTGAGGTAGAAGATGCGCTGCAGGCCCTGGGTGCACAGGGTTCGCAGCTCGGGCAGCTTGCCTAGCAGGCGGGACAGGCAGCCGGCCGGCTGGGGCTCACCCCCCATGGCTGAGACGTGTTCCTTCAAGCAGCTGGCAATGCGGTTCTGCAGCTCCTCCACCCGCCGTGGCTCCTGCAGCCCGTGTCGGTCTGCAAAAAGGATGTGGGATTAGCCACCCATCCAAGGATCAGGCACCCCAAAGACCCAGCCTCCCCCAGGTCTCTAAAACTCCTGCCACTGACTGCTCCTCACACTCCCCTGGCACTTTGCAAAAGCTCGTACACACAAGCCCATTTTTGAGTCCCACCAGAAGCCTTCGAGAGCAGTAACACTCATTATCCTTTTATTCCAAGTGAGAAACTCAGGCCCAGAGAGTTTACATGGTTTCCCCAAGGTCACAAAAAAGAAAACTAACCCAGGTTTTCTGGCTAGGCCAGTGGGTGCCCCCCAACCCCAGACTGTTCTGAGAAGACCTGGTGTCCGGCAGCAATGTTTCAGTGGCCACCCCAGGAAGAGCTAGCCCTAGAATCCACCAGTCCCTCTTCAGCCCAGGGCGCCTCTAATTTTGCTTTATATGCTAGTGTTTCGTGCAAAAGTTAAGGGAAAAAAGGTGGTGGTAGACTCTGGTGTTTTAAAAAATAAAAAGGTATCTGAAAACTCCTTCACTTGACACCAAAGAATCCATCCTCTTTCGACTAACGAGTTCATGCATAAATGTATAATAACAATTATATAAAATACAAAAGCAGGCACAGCTAATCCAAGCTGGTAGAAGTTAGGATAGTGGTTACCCCTGGGGGAGATGGTGACAGGAAGGAGCACAGGAGAGGTCCTGGCCACATGCTCTTTCTTGATCTAGGTGCTGGTTATGTAAGTGTGCTTAGTTTGTGAAAATTCATCATTTGTGCACATTTCCATATGCATGTTATACTTTAATAAACATTTTTAAAACACACAAAAACCCTAAGCCACATACATGACACTACACAGTCTGGATCTTGGGTGCCACCACCACCACGGCTGGCTGTCACTGACTCCGACTCATGGCGACCCCATGTGTGTCAGAGTAGAACTGTGCTCCATAGGGTTTTCAAAAAGCTGATTTTTCCGAAGTAGATCGCCAAGCCTCTATTCCAAGGAGTCTCCGGGTGGACTTGAACTGCCAATCTTTCAGTTAGCAGCCAAGTGCGTTAACTGTTTGCACCACCCAGAGACACCAGGATCTTGGGTAGTCTAGGGTAATTCACAGACTTCACTGGGCTTTGAAGTCAGATGCAGCTGAGCCTGCCCCCAGCTCTGCAATCTACCAGATGTGCTGCTTTGAGCAAGTGTCTGCCCCTCTCTGACTCTTGGCAAGTATGAGCAGGGGGCAGTGTAGGGGCCCAGGAAGTGCTCGATACCAGCCCACCTAGGGCCATGCTTTTAGGCCCTCTCCACTCCCCAGGACAGCACCCTCCTGAGGACAGATCAGCTCCTCCACCCCCACCCTTCCCTGAACCCCAAGGACTCAGCTTGGTGCTGGCCACTCACCGGTGATGAGGACGAGAGCAGACAGGCAGGCAAAGGCAGGGAGATCGATGACCAGGCTGTGTAGGGACCGTGAGAAGGCCAGGATGCTGTCGATCCAGTCGCCGAAGCTGCGGGCGCACTGCAGCCGATGCAGCACCAGACCTGAGCAGAAGATAAGCTTCCCCTCGCCGGGCTTGGACCTGGTGGGTGACAGACACAGACAGTGCTCAGGGCAGCTCGAGGGCAGGGCAGCAGGGGAAGGGGCCAGGCAGACAGCAGGCAGCTCACCGGTAGGCCAGGCGGAGGATGAAGAGCTCCAGAAAGGCCGACTCCAGCAGCAAGTCCTGGTCGCCGGGTGACAGCTCGGCAAAGCCAGGGATCTTCTCGGCCCACCTGCGGATAACCTCCAGGGAACTCGAGAGCAGGTCGTAGAACTGCTGTACATCCCCAGCATCTTCCTTCCCAAAGTAGGGCAGCATCAACTCCTGGAACTAGGAGGGCAGTCCAGTGGGGTCAGCACCCCATGAAGACCCCACACAAGGCCACCACAGACAGCAATGTCATGCACTCAGATGCCTCATCACGGGAGAGACGGTAGAACTGAAATTCAGCCCATGCTCTTGCTTGCCAATTCTCACATATTATTCCGGGGCTGCGTGTGCCTTCTGGAAGGAGCACATTTTTCTAATTGGCCCCCTGAGGGGTACAGTTTTCCATCAGGTCAGCCCAGAGGGAGCTCCTCTTTTTTCAATGTCTCAAGCTGGAGGGGGCACCCTTTCTAACGTGCACCTAGGCACTGAATGTGCTTGCAGCGGCCTTTCCCAAAGCAGGAGCAGGGTAGGGTAGGGCGAAGCCTCACCTTGGAGTAGTCCAGTTTGGTCGTGCTGGGCCCTGAGTCCAAGTGCGCCCGGACCAGTGAAGTGAGGAGGTTAGCAGGGGAGGCATCTGGGGGCTGCTTGGGTTTTGAGGGGAGCCGGCCCCGCCTCCCCTTCAGACTGTCTGTCCGGACAACTGCAGAGAAATGGGCAAGGGTGAGGAAGGGAGAAAGCGACCTCATGTACCCTTAGCCGAAGATGTGCACACCAATGCTGGGAAGCACTGAGCCCCTGAGACACAGGGGACCCTACAGGGACCTCCTCCCCCATCCCTCATAAGACAGGCTAGTGAAAGCCACCTCCCATTCTCAGAGGCAGGCGATTGGAGGTGAGGGTGGAAACAAGGTGCACACATGCCCTCCCCTCTGGCCCAACAGGGCAGATTGTCTGGGGGACTTGCCCAGTCCCACCTGCTCAGGCCGAGTCTGGCACCATTCACAGCCACCCACCTTCCTTCACCATGCCCACAGCCAGGCACTTCTGGAAGCGGCAGAACTGGCAGCGGTTTCGCCGCCTCTTGTCCACAGGGCAGTCCTTGTTGGCCAGGCAGATGTACTTGGCGTTTTTCTGCACTGTGCGCTGGGGGAGGAGGGGGGGCAACACGGAACAGGCTGTCAGAGAGTGGGGTGGGGAGGGGGAAAGCCTAGGAGAGGGGACTATCCAGATCCTGCTGCCATCACAGACAAAAGCGCTCTCTGTTCACAGCTATTTTTCTAACATTTGGGTGTCAGGGGAGGGAGAGATGGAAGGGGGGGGATGAAGAGGAAAGTCTTGGGGGCACTGGGGGAGGTTTCTGCCTCAGGGAGAGGACCCGAGAACATAAGGTTAAGGGCCAGGGCCCCCAGCAGTCCTGACACCTGTACTTTTTATTATGCCTGTGTCCATCTGCCCCTGTCCTGGGGCAGATAAGAGAGGGCCGAGGAGGGGCTGGGGGTGGGGATGGGAAGCTAAGCAGGCACCCAGAGCTGGGACAAACACACAGCCTGTTCCTGAGTCCACCCCCAGCCCTCAGGCACCAAGCTCTCTTCCCAGATCTTTTCATCTCATGCCAGGAACACGAGTGCATGGGTCCCCCCTTCCACTAGGACCTTGAGCTGGGGATGGTAGGCAGAGGAAAGCCAAAGGCTGGCCATTAGGACCTCCCCTTCTGGTACCCCACAGCCTGCGCCCTCTGCCCATGTCGCACTCCACCTCCCTCTCTGCAGGCCTACTGGCCCCAAGTCCCATTCCCCTGCCATCTATGGGTCCCTGGGGGGAGTCCATCTGGCAGTCTCACCCTTTGCTGCAGGGCAGGACTATTTGGGAGGAGAACCCAAGGCAGGCTGCCATAGACCCCACTAGGAAGATAGATCTGCCTGTCCCCATTTCCTACAAAGAGCCCAACCTAGAAGAGCATAGTACCTTGAAGAAGCCCTTGCAACCCTCACAGGTGCGGACGCCGTAATGCTGACAAGAAGCGTTGTCCCCACACACAGCACAGCGGCCCTCGCTTCCACTGGGAGCCCCACTCCGGGCCTTGGCTGAGGTCACGGGCACATCCAGCATCCCTGAGCCATCAAGGTGTGGAGAGGTGGGTGCCAGGCCTGGGAAAGCTGTGGGCATGGAATAGCTTTCATCCTCCCTCAGCTGGTGGGTTGCCTGTGAGGGGAACAGCTTCAGGGGGCTTTGGGCAAGGCTGGGGCTAGGTCCAGTGGGGGCGCTGAAGGAGAAGAAGGCTGGGGGCTGAGGGGGCCCAGAGGCCTTAGGCAGCTGCTCTGTCCATGCCCGCAGGCCTTCATAAGTCTGGCTGGGTGAGAAGTGGCCAAATGAGCCATCCCAAGGAGAGAGCTGGGGCGGCTGGAAGCTGGGCGTGGATGGTGACGGGACTGAGCAGGGGCTGCCGTAGTAGTCGGAGCCGCTGGAGGACAGGGTCTCATCTAGCGGGCCGCTCAGGGTGCCTGGGTAGCAGCCATACACCTGGAAGTCCTCGAACTTGAAGGAAGTAGAGGCAGGGGAGGTGGCTGATGATGAGGACGTGGAGGAGGCTGAGGAGGAGGCCGAGGAGCACGGCTGGACTGTTCCTGGCAGCTGGTAGAGGAAGGTGTCAAACTCTCCTGTGTAGCCGTCCATGAAGGTGCTGAAGCTGGGCAGGGCAGTGGGGGCAGTGGGGGCAGCAGGGGCCGCCTCAGGGCTGGCCAGGTCCATGGTAGGCTTGCTGAGCTCAGGGGTCAGGGGGTCACTTGCCAGGTGGTCACGGGCACCTGGGCTTGGTGCTGGTGTCCCATATTGGGCTTGGATACAGGGCATCTCTGATGTGGGAGAAAAGCCAAGAAAGGGGAGGGGAAGAGTCAGTGTGAGAAGCCTGATGCCTCGTTTCAAAGTATAGGCCCCAGGGCAACCAGGTGGCAGGAATCCCAGACAAGAGTTGGGACACTGAGGTCTTAGGGCCATGACCAAACACAGAACCTAGGATCCTCACCCCTGAGCTGAGCACCATCTCAACCTACATGCCACAAAGTGCCCGGGCAGTGGCCCAGCGAGAGTGGGCTCAGTCAGAAGGCCAGCCACACCCCAGTCGGCCTGGGAACCCTCAGGAGGGCATCCGGCCAGCATTTCTCTGCTGGAACAGGAGGAAGCAGTGTTCCTCCAGCCCCATGCCCTTCCTCTACCAGGTGGGGACTGGGAGAAGGGTGGATAGGAGAGGCAGCCATGCAAAGCCTTATGCCCAGTCCCCAGGAGCAGATACGTTATTTCTCCAGCCAAGCACTTCCTGGGAATATTCCCAGGCACAATCCAGGCTTCTGCAAAATCCCTTCTTCTCCTTCCCCCCCAGAACCTGGGAAGAAGGCATCTTGGATCACAAAGAGGGGCTGGAAGTGAAGGCCCAGAGTCTGCCCTGTCTAAGAAAGCAGCCTAAGGGGCGATGCAGCCATCCTTGAGCCTGCCCCCCTCCCCACCTCCACCCGACAGACTGAGCAATGGCTGCCAATCTCACCCGTACCTCAGTCCTGCCATCTGGGGCTGGGCACCCACTCTTTGCTGCTGTCAGGGATGCTCTCAGAAGCAAAGAGGAAAGGAACCCAGGCCTCCCCACCAAGTTCCCAGCTCTCTAAGGGATCAGGGAACCTGGCTCCAGATCTTTAAAAGCCATATGCTGGAGAGACCGAAGGGGAGAGGAGGGGAGAGATCAGCCCCCAGTCTTCCAGGAGAATGGACAGTCCCTGAGAGAAATTTCCCTGCTACCCCTTAAGTACTTCTCCCCTTCCTGTTCTTTTTATAAGAGAACGCTAAAAAAACAAAAAGATAAAATGACTCTGTTTTGAGTGCTCTCATGCCTAAAATCCTTAATTTCTCTTCAACATGTATTTTCCCCCTTGTAATTACACATCTAAATTTCTGAGCTTGAGTACAGATTCATCCTTGCTAACAGAAATAAAGATGTCTACTAAATTATTACCTCTTACAAAATATGATAAGGCATTGAATTAGTTCTCATATCTACCATTAAAAAAAAAAAAAAAACAGAGAGAGAGAATACTCAGAGTCCAGCAGAGTTATGCAGGTGGTTATGCAGGAAGGAGAGGAGCCTGCCCCTGCCTGGGTCCCTGCATTAAGGTCATGTCTGTACCCTCAAGAATCCAGGGGCTCCGGCAAAGGGGGCTGCTCACCTGCAACCATGAGGGGCCTGCAGGAAGAGGGATGGCATTACTGAGGGGTTTCTTAAATTCAGAGACTGGTCAGAATAATGCAGAGGAGGCTCCAGGACAGTCCCTCTCCCCACTCGTTGCCTGGGGTCTGCATAACTCTGGCCTCACCAGTGGAGGGGGGAGCTGGGTAAGAACTCAAGCTGGAACACAGTACCATGAATGAAGGGGTACAGCAGATGAGGGCAAAGGCTGTCACTACCCCCTGGTCAAGAGCCCAGGGAGTCCTCTGGTCCAAGCCCTTATCCCACCTTCATGGACCCCGCATGGGGCAGCTCCACTCCTAGCCTGACACACGACCAACTCAATCAGTAGAGCCCCTCGGGAGCTCTGGCCCCACCCACCTGAAAGCACCCATCAATACGTGTGCAACCCTGGGCACCTGCTTGAGATAATGGTAGCCACGTCTCCCAGCACTAGGAAAGCCTGGGCAGGGATGGGTTGGGGTGGAGGAGGAGAACGGCAGCCACACAGGGCTGGGTGTTCCAGCCTTATTCAAATCCTGTTTCTCCACTTGGACGTCCCACATCCGGATCAACCCCCACTAACCTGTTCCCCCCTCCCCGCCTCAGCTTCCAGACTGTGCAGGTACTTAACAACACAGGACCTACATCCAGCCCCATGGGGGGCAGGGAGCAGTCCCACAGAGAGGAGGAGGAAGAGGCGGGGTTAAAGGAAGGACCGGGTAGAATCCGGCTTCAGGCAGGTCCTGGCAACAAGGTGGTTTGCACCTGTTATACTGAACAAGCCTGAGGCTGCACCCTACCTGTGAGATCCAACAGATACTATGGGGGGAGGGGCACAGAGGTGATCAGCATGTGGGGCTGGAGTAGTAACACACACACACACAGACACACACACTCTCCAAGCCACAGCTAAAGCAACACTCCTCTTGCTTCCAGAGACCCTGCCCCTGCCCCTAAGAAGACTCACTTATTCCAACACACAGCAAGCACCCCCTCCACAGTTCAGCTACCAACGTTAACCATTCCCTTTGGTGATCCAGAGGTCTCCTGATATAACCCAGACAGAAAGAAACTTCGAGGTGGGGATCCCTGCAAACTAAGCCACACTCCCTAAAGTATTAAGTAAGCAATTATGGGAGGAGACTTCCCAGGCTGGGAGAAAAGAGACCCTTTTGGAAATCTGAGCCTGGATAAGAGTCCGATGGATCCCAGCACCAGAGAACCTCATCAGCACCCAAGTCCAGAGCACCGTGTGCCTACTTGGGCACCCTGGGAGACTGAACTAAGTCCAGCTGCTTGCTGGACAAGTCCTCACTGCCGGCGCCAACCCCAACCCCAACCCCTGCGGCTTCCACCTTGCACAGACACTCCCCCTCACCCCGCCCCCCGCCCCTCCGGCGTCCAGCGGACTCCAGTCCGATCTGGGTCCTCATTCCGCTCCAACTGCTACCTCCCAAGCCCAAAGCGGCACCGTACACCCGTCCTCCTGCACGTCGACCCTACATCCTTTCTGCTCGCATGTACAATCCATCTCCCTGCAACAACCCTAAAAACTAACACAGCAACCCCACATAGCGACCCACTCAGATGCACGCCTCCCCGCGGGGAACCTACCCGGCCGGCTTCTGCTCCCCCTGCCCGGGACTAGCGCCCCGAGTCGCAGTGTCGCTGCGTGCGCTCCCGCAGTCTCTTCACACTCCCCCAAGTTTCGCAGCCTCCGCCACTGGGGCTCCCCGGCCGAGCGGGACCCTCCTCTTAAGCGCTCCGTGACGCACGGGGAGGGGCGGGGGCGCCACTGACGCACGCGGCCCGGCGAGCTTTGGCCATACAAGGGCGCGGGGGGCGGCGCAGTTCCGGCGGGAGGCGGACAGAGGGAGGCGCGGGGCCGGGGAGCCCGAGGGGGCGGGGCGAGGGGGGCCTGGAATGTCTGCGCGCGTGACGCACGCGGGGTTCCATTGACGCAGGGAGCGCGGAGTGTTTGATCTATAAATAGTCCTCGCGCGCCCAGTGCGCCGGCTAAAAATAGCAGCTCCCTAACTCTCCAGGCTCCCCCCCACCGGACTCAGAACCCGGTCCGGGAGCCTCCAGGTCCGAAATAACCGGCCAGGATGGCCAAGGCCCGAAAACAGAGCTGCGGCCGTGGGGCTTCCCCGGACAAGGATCTCCTCGCCCTCCGGCTGAGTCCTGGGCGCCTCGACCGCGCCCAGCCCCTCGGCTCCGTCTGTGCTGGGCTCCGCCTTTGCCCCCTCCCAAGCCCTTCCTGGAGGCCTAGGGTATCACCCTCTGCCGCTGCTGGGCGGCTAGGGCAGGCCTAGGGCTGGGGCGGGCAACTCAGGGACACACCCTGGCGAGTCTGCGCCCTCACCTCCGCCCGAGGCGCAGCTTGTGCACTTGACCGGTCTTCCCTGGCAGTGTATCGGGCGGAGAGGTTGCCCCCGAGATGTCAGTTAGGGCCCTGCTTACTCCCTCCCTTCAATTCTCCACGTAGTCTTCGGCAGAAGTGTCTTCCCCAGGGTAGGGGTGTGCCAGGCCCAAGCTTGCTCGGTGGGCTCGGCTCCATATGCTGAACTTGACTTCTCACCAGCTTTTCCCCCCGCCCCTTACAGAGTGAGTGCACCCTACTTGGGAAATTACTGAATTTCAGAACCGGGTGGAGCCTGAGAAATCTTTGCAAACTTAAGCTTACTGTTCCCCCATTTTATAAATGAATGGGCCCAGAGAAATAATGGCACTTGCTCAAGGTCACACAGCAAGGCAGTGGCACCGTGGGGTGGAACCCAGGCCCACTGACTGCTTCTCTAGAGGATCTTTTCACTCCCTCCTACCACTATACCCCCCCAAAAAATCAAGGAGCACCCGCACTCCCACCCCACTCCAGCACCCGTGGAGGGAGCAGTTCTGACCGGCTATAACCTGCCTGATGGAACAGAGAGCGAAGGGCCTGGTAGGGTTGTATCAGGGCACAGACCAGGCTGCAGCCATCTGGAGCCTTCCCTGGTTCAGATGTCGCTCCTCTGCTCTATCCTATTCCATGCCTGGGGCGCCCTCTCTAGCTAAGTAAGAGAGGAAGGATGAAGGGCTAATGTTTACAAGGAGAAGGAAGCCACCCACCCCACTGGGATCCCCACTCGTCCCCTTTTCCCTGTAAGTCAACATCAATAGGAATTTCTGCTTTCACTGAGCCTGCACCCACCCACCCTACTCACTTCATCTGCACCCTATAACACTTCCCTTTGCCCTCCAGATACTTCCTGCTCCTCACTTCCACTCTCACCTCCGGTCACAGGTTTCCCACACCCATGTCCCCAGCCCCCACTTCTGCCCACTCAAAGGTCTTGCAAGCGCCTCAGGCTTCATCTGTTCCAGACAGAATTTGTCCCTTCCCACGCCCTGCCCACCACCCCATCTCTCCTGATGCTCCACATGTGAGTTTTCATTTTCTCCTGAAATTCTCCTTTAAAACATCTCTTGGGTTCCTCCATTCTCATGGCCAGTAACAGACCTCACCTCCACAGACCAACTGGATGAACCCAATGACCTCCCCTTCTTCTTGCCTATGCCCATTAAGAAAACCACCCCTTAACTAGTCTGTTTCCTCTTTCTAAATCCACCCTGTCCACTATGGATGGAGAAGTCTTCATTTAATATCAATCACATTAAGTGACCTGGTTAGCACCTGCCATAGCTCTCTGATCTCAGCATAAAACTTAAATGTCTTCAGAGTTTTCCCAAACCATCTTCCATGGACTCTTCAAGGCCACCTGGGTGAGGGTGATGGATGGGCAGGGCAGTGTGAATGAGACCCGTCCAGGACTCCTACCCTACTCCAGCCCAAGTTTTGTTGCTCTTTGGGCTTTTGCATAAAGTATTGCTTTAAAAAAAGGATTCCATGGCTAAAAAAAAAGTTTTAAAAACCACTAATAAAATTCAAATCCTCCCATTTTGCAGATTAGACCCCAAGGGTTCAGAGAGGAGCTGCGCTGTGCTCAGAAGCACACAGCAAGTCTGTGCTGGGTGAGACTGGCTGTGTCTGTGGCACGGGCTGGCTTGCCCACCCAGCCCCCACCCTGCCCTGGGATGCCTCCCTTCACCCCAGGAGGGCCTTCCTCAAATTTAAATATGTCCATAAAAGTATATTAGCTAGATCAATATTCTTCCCTCCATCCAGTATCACCAGCAAAAACAGGTGTACTACCTGCGGCTTGACCTGCCTCTGCTCATGCCTGGCCTTAGCTCTTTGAGTTCTGCCAGTCTTGAGCCCTAGCATCCCCCTCTGCTCCCTACCACCTTCCACTTGTAAAAAGTAGCACAGGCTATCCTGTGTGGTAAGCCCTCCCATGAACTCCAGGGAACTCTAGCACGGTGAGGACTGTCCAGGCCCCTGGCCTAAATCTCAGCCTCCAGATCTGTGCCTGCAGCCCATACCCCACTTCCCCAGGCTGCAGTCTCCCTGGCCTCAAAGAAGGAGAGAGTGAGACAATTGTAGCTGCCATCTAGCTAGGCCTTTGGGGGGTGCTGGGGGGGTGGTGTCTGAATACACCACACTCTGAAAATAACAAAGCGCAACGAGAAAAAGGCAGAGTCCCTTGGTGGGAACACAGCAGGGTCTCCCATTCAGACACAGGTGTGCAGCACCTTGCCCGAACAGGAGGGAGAGGTGAAAGGAGCTGGGGGACCCAGGACCTATTCCCTGCTGATCAGAGGCCCTCCTGGGGGCTCTGAGTTGGGTGGAGTCCAACTAAGGTATACCTCCAGGGAAAGGCATAATTGACAGACTTTGGAAGGCTGAGAGTATAAGCTGGTCCCAGGTTGGACAGGGACCCTCAATGGACCCCCAAAGCCCAGCCTTCAAGAGCAAGGTTAGAGCGAACTGCTCATTGAGGGTGGGAGAGGGCAGGTAATAAGGCAAGTAATGATGGCAGATGTGTCCAAAATTAGAAACTAAGACCAGAAAGTAAGGCAGGGCTGTGATAACACAGGAAGGGCAGAGAGAGATGTCATGTGGGAGGCCAGAGACAGCCCCACACAGTCAGGCCCCCACACCATGGCCCCAGCCTACCTGTCTGCCCTCATCACCCACCGTTCCCCACCACTCCCAGATAAGACCCTTGGGTTACACCTCCCCCTTACCTGCTTTGCACATGCTGTTTCACCCACTGGGCACATTGTCCTTCTTCCTCCCTTTCACCTCTGATCCTGCTCATCCTCCAAGACTTCAGCTCAAACGTCACCCTCCTGGGCTAGCCCAATTCTTTTTTTTTTTTTTTTTAATTGCGCTTTAAGTGAAAGTTTACAGTTCAAGTCAGTTTCTCATAGAAAAATATATATATACATCGCTATCTGACCCTAGCTACTCTCCCTATACTGTGACAGCACACTCCTCCTTTCCACCCCAGATTTCCCGTGTCCATTCAACCAGCTCCTGTCCCTTTCTGCCTTCTCATCTCACCTCTAGACAGGAGAGGGTAGCCCAATTCTTAGTAAGCGCCTTCTCAGGTAGGAGGAACTAATCTCTGCAGCATACCAACCAAGTGTCAAACCTTCTTCCACTTAACCCTCTCCCCAACCCTTTGAGGTTTGGAATTCCAATCCGCATTTGATGAATGAGGAAATGGAGGCTAAAGAGTAGTACTCAAACTCAGGTCCTCTAACTCGCAGTTCTGTGCTGGACCCACTGCCCTTGACACCACACTCCAGAAGCTGTGGCTTCTGGCCCCGTGGTCTTTGAGTTCTTGTAAGTACACCACAAAACCAGGCCCACACACACGGCCTGTATACTGAAAATAGCAGTGCCTGCAAGGGGTTCTTTGGTGACACTGGCAGCTTTCTAGTTCCCGATCTGGATGATGGTCACTGGGCAAGTTCACTCTAGACAAGTCATTGAGTTGTACTATTAGGATTTTATACCTATGATTTGTGCACTTTTCTTATGTTGTACTTCCCTCCCCATCAAAGAAAAAGTGTCCTTAAAGAATGCTGTTGCTGTTGGGTGCTGTTGAGTCAATTCCAACTCATAGCAACCCTATAGGACAGAGTAGAACTGCCCCATAGAGTTTCCTAGGCTGAAATTTTTATGGGAGCAGAAAACCCAGGTCTTTTCTCCCATGGAGCAGCTGGTGGATTCAAACCACTGACCTTTCAGTTAGCAGCCAAGCACTTAACCATTGTGCCACCAGGCTCCTTTACTTAAAACATAGCCATGCCTGATGCTAATGGTGGTGGAATAATTTGGAAAAGGACAGTGAGAATAATGGCACAACTTGAAGAATGTAATCAATGTCACTGAATTATACATGTAGAAATTGTTTAGCATAACTTTTGTTGTTGTGTGTATCTGTACCACAATTAAAAAAAAAATAAAAAAAGCCATGCCTAGAAGGGAGAGATGTATTTATTCAAACGGATGGAGATGCTGCTGGAATTCACTGAGTACAAATTCATTCAAGTGTGTTCCTGAAATCACAGTGGCTGTTTCTCATTATGTATTTGCTTTAACAACAGACACTTAAAGTATAACTACAGTCAGGCAGGCCACAGCATTCAACATTGGAAAGGGGGCCTTGGACAGTCAACACAGTATGTTTTTTGAACGGCTCAACAGGCCCTTACCCTTCTAGTCAAATCTTCTGGGGCCCAGGCACTTATCATATGCCCAGATCCTTCCTCCCCGACCAGTGTGTGACCTCCGTGAGGGCACAGGCACTGTCTCCCTTACCTTGG